TTTCTGTGGCCGTTTGCAATCCGGTATACTGCGCATCAGCTCAACCTCTGGCCCCGTGTCTCCTTGCCAAAGACCTTGCCCACACTGCGTTGGACGGGGGAGGTTGGCGATGCGTCGGTGTTTCAGGTCTGGGGTTCTCGTGCCTTTGTTTGCGATACGTCCGCGGACAAGCTCTCCGCTCGTGCTATCCCCTGCGTCTTCCTTGGCTTTGTCCCTGACGCGCCTGGCTGGCAGTTTTACCACCCCACCTCGCGCCGTGTCTTCCCTTCTCAGGATGTCACGTTTGACGAGTCAGTTCCCTTTTACCGTCTCTTCCCCTACCGCTCCCCCGCCCCCGCCGCTCTTCCTTGCTCCCGGTTCCCCTCCGGTATACCCCCTCCCGCCCCAGGGTCCTGCTCCCTCAGGTGTGTCTCAGGTAGACCCTCTCCCTGGTCCTGCGCCTGTTGAGGTAGCTTTCGGCTCATGTGCTGCTCGAGGTGCTGCGTCTGGGGGTGCTGCGTCTGGGGGTGCGGAGCCGGGGGGTGCGGAGTCTGACGGTGCTGGGTCTGGGGGTGCTGAGCCTGGGGGTGAGGAGCCTAGGGGTGCTGCGCGTGAAAGTAATGAGCCTAGGGGTCTTGAGTCGGAGGCTGCGGAGTCTGGGGGTGCTGAGCCTCAGGGTGCTGCTTTGTCTGGAGATCCTGCTGGTGCTTCGCCGAGACTATCTCCGCAGCAGCTGCGTGAGTGGCTTGTTCGGCGAGCACCCCTTCGGAGTGGAGCTACCGGTGCTGGAGACGCTGGAGCTGGAGGTGCTGGAGTCACTGCTGGAGCTGGTGGTCCTAGAGGTGCTGCGGCTGCTGGTCCTGGAGGTGCTCGTACCAAGGACACTGGAGCTGCCGGGACTGGTGGTGTTGGGGGCGCTGGATCTGGGGACCCTACCGAGCCAAGAGCTGTTGGAGCTGGAGGCTCTGGCGCTGGTGGCGCTGGAGCTGGAGGAGCTGGAGCTGGAGGCACTTGCGCTGGAGGCGCTGGAGTTGGAGGCACTGGCGCGGGAGGCGCTGGAGCTGGAGGTGCTGGAGCTGTTGACCCTGGAGGCACTGTGCGGCCGCGACCGTACTTTGTTCCCCTGCTTCAGCAGGTTCTCGGTGTCCCGTCTTCTACCAGCCTTACTCCTCCCCTCCTGTGTCCACCGCCTGACCAGTCGCAGCAGCCGTTACAGCCGGCCTCCCCACTGACTGCTCCTTCTCCTTACACTGAGCAGTCCGGAGGTCTTACAGAGCATTGTGAGCCTGCGTCTTGTCCTGTCTCGCCTGTTCACAGTGCTCGTTGCGGTCCTCGTTCGCGTCCTCCTCCTGTCCCCGGCACGCACGCTATGGCACTTCGTCCTTCCTCTGTTCCACTGCGTGTTCCTCTGCCTGCTCCTCCTGAGTCCTCTCTAATTGAGGTCCCTGACCCTGAGTCTGACCGCGCTCGTGCTACCAGTCCCACAGTCTCTCGTCTCCTCGCCACTGTTGTCACTGACCCTTCCATTGAGTCTGCTGCTGCGTCTGACCTCGTTACTGAGCTGCTTGACTTTGCTGCTGTCTGTCGTCTAGACTACGCCACTGCTCTTGTTGCTGAGTCTGAGTCTAGCAGTCCTCCGTCCGTCGGGGGTGAGTGTGCTCTTGGCACGGACGTCCTTGAGGACAGGCAGGAGGACTTTGAGTGTCTTGCAGTTGCTGTACCTCGTTTCTCTTCCATGCTGCTTGCCCCTGAGGGAGACCCGGATGCACCAGACATCCCGACCCCGCGCTCTTACGCAGAGGCGATCACTCCTCTCAGTGGCATGCAGCCATGGATGCCGAGATGGCATCCTGGAAGTCCACAGGCACCTACGTCGATGAGGTTCCCCCACCTCGGGCGAACATAGTCGATGGCATGTGGATTTTCAGGGTGAAGCGGCCGCCGGGCTCTCCGCCAGCCTTCAAGGCGCATTACGTTGCTCGAGACTTCAGTCAGCGTCAGGGGGTTGACTACTTCCAGACCTTCTCCCCCACCCCGAAGATGACTACTCTTCAGGTGTTGCTGCACGTCGCTGCTCAGCGTGAATACGAGTTGCACTCTCTGGACTTCAGCATATCTTTCTTGCAGGGCAGCGTGCACGAGGAGATCTGGCTGCGCCGCCCACCTGGCTTCACTGGGTCGTTTCCTCCAGGTACCCAGTGGAGCCTCCGGCGGCCAGTCTACGATCTCCGCCAGGCGCATCGCGAGTGGCATGACACACTGAGGACTACACTTGCGGCTCTTGGGTTTGCTCCTTCTACTGCTGACCCGTCGCTGTTTCTACGCACCGACACCTCGCTGCCGCCGCTCTACGTCCTCGTGTACGTCGACGACCTCGTCTTTGCCACTGTTGACACCGAGGCACTGACCCTTATGAAGTCGGAGCTGCAGAAGAGACACACCTGCAGTGACTTGGGTGAACTGCGCAGCTATCTTGGCTTGCAGATCACCCGGGACAGAGCACGGCGCACCATCACCCTTACTCAGTCACACATGGTGCACCAGGTCCTTCAGCGCTTCGGCTTCCAGTTCTCCTTGCCACAGCCCACTTCTCTGTCTACCAGCCACTCGCTCTCAGCTCCACCTTCGGAAGAGTCCGTAGAGCCGAGTGGTCTGTACCCAGAGCTTGTGGGTTGCCTCATGTACCTGATGACGTGCACACGACCTGACCTCGCATACCCTCTTAGCCTCCTTGCTCGCTACGTGGCTCCCGGTAGGCACCGAAAGGTGCACTGGGATGCTTCGAAGAGGGTGTCAGAATATTACACCCCACTTTGGCTATGGGGGTGTGTCAGAATGTATTTGCTGTCTAGCCTGCAGTGGGGTACTCTGTAATGAGTACAACCCAATTTAGGGTGTTGTACTTGTATCCCAACTCTTGCTAGTGAAACCTCATTCCTCTCCTTCCAAAACCTCTCGATACTTTTCCTAATCTCCAACTCAACTACCAAGGCTCCTAAACTATGGCTCCTAAGCCAAACTCACGCTAGTATTTTGTTAGAGGGTACTGCGTTACTTGTGCAGTACGTCGGGCATGGGGCTCGTGCTTGGAGGACGGGGTCCAGTTGTCCTCACCGGTCACGCAGACGCTTCCTGGGTTGATGACTCAGCTACGCAGCGGTCGTCACAGGGTTACACCTTCAGCCTTGGCTCTGGCTCTGTTTCCTGGCGGTCTACCCGCTCGTCTTCGGTTCTCAGCTCCAGTTGTGAGGCTGAGATATACGCCGGGGCCATGGCTGCACAGGAGCTACGCTGGCTCACCTACCTGCTGGCTGACTTGGGAGAGCAGCCTTGTTCGCCTCCAGTTCTGTACATAGAGAACAAGGCCATGATTGCCTTGTGTCAGGAGCACAGACTGGAGCACAGAACAAAGCACATCGCTGTGCGATACTTCCTTGCTCGAGAGTTGCAGCAGCGTGGCCAGCTTCGTCTTGCGTACGTGGCCACTAAGGCCAATACTGCTGATATATTCACCAAGACACTTCCGCCTGGTGATCATCAGCGCTTCTCTACTGTGTTAGGCCTTGTGCCTACTTTGCCTCACTTGCTTACTACGTGACTTTGCTTGTACTGTGATCTATATATATACCTGCATGCTTGCACTTGCTAGGGTATGATCACTGTATTGTTTGTTCTCTTATATATAACTCTGCATGTGAATTGGCCTTGTGGCCCTTTGCTTGTGCTCGGACTGTGTGGTGACTTTGTGATCCACCTTGAGCTTGCTTTGCTTTTCTTAACTGGTCTTGTGACCACTTGTTCTCCCCCACTTTGTCTATGGGAGTGTGTCAAACTTATATATAGCTTACATTGTGTAGGCTGTAGTGGGGTAGCCCATAAGGGGTACAACCCAATTAGGGTTAGTACTTGTAACCGGCTGTTTCATAGTTCATTCATTCTCGTTCATCATTCTGACACCAATCTGCAATTCGCATAGCGAACAAGAGCGGGTTCTCGAACCGAACGAAGCACATTGCCCTGCGCTATTTCTTCGTGAAAGACGAGATCAAGAAAGGGAGACTCGAACTATCCTGCTGGCCCACGTCTGAGATGGCAGCAGATTACTTGACCAAGAAACTCGGAAAGCAGAAGTTCGAGTACTGTATGCTGCTGACTAGACAAAGCCACGTCATCAGCAACGAAGGCGACGACACTCCAGAAGCGAAGGGGGGTGTTGGAAACATATAGTTCGCGCTTCTGATGTGTCGAGCACTACAACAAAAGCGAAGCGACCTGAAGCGAAGCAACAGCGAGTCAACCAAAGCGGTTGACAAAAAGACAACAGCAAAAGGTTGAGTGATGGTCAAAGGTCAGCGACCTTTTGACTCGCCGAAAAGCAGCGCGACAGCAAGGACACATAACTGACTCACTATTGAGCAGTTACCTGAGTCGTTGCTGTATCGAACTGCAACAGCAGTTACAGTTAGTAAAACCTTTCATATTCCTTTGTAATCATATAAATCTTTGTATGTCTTTGCTATTATCAACTTATCTTGTTTTCACATACCAGTGCAAGGTGGTTCAATCAGTTTACTATTACGCTTCCGCTAATACATCAACTACTCTGAGACTTTAGTCTTGAAAACGATCCTAAGGGTTTTTCTCAGCCCAACAATAGGCATGGGCATGGGCATGGGCATGGGCATGTGCATGACACTTCACCATCACCTCTTTCCCTCACACCTCCCCTCCTTCCGCTCTCCCTTTACCATGCATCCATTTCACCACTGTAGGATGGCATGCACACGAGTGTCAGAATCCCAGTCACTAGACCACTGAGATAAAAGGGCTTGTTAAGTAGCGGGTCAGTGCGCCCATAACCCCCAAGGACAACGAGCATGTAACCCTTCCCTAGGATCAATCGGGTATCACCAGTGGACCTCTGACAACGAGCTCGCTGCAGTTCATCAATCGCATGAGGATTACTATCATACGAGCCCCTTGCATATGCCGCACGGTCAGTCAACAAAAGCAGACGATCAATGTGTGCACAAGAAGAAAAGACTGTTCATAAGACGACCAGTCGAGCACCGTGGTATGCGCTCTCCTAGCTTGCTGAATGTTTAACTGCTGCTTGAAACTAGCGATCCAGGGTTGTAGAGTAGGATTGGCTTCAGCACAAATCTCACCTATCAGCTTCGTGCTAGGATTGCTGAGTGCCGCACATTCTAGTGCGGCACTCAGCATCTTCGGATCGTCGCGCTCATTTCGTTTTCCCCTCGTCTCCCCCGCCCCACCTACCCTCCCATCCATACCCGCGCCCTCTCCAGGAACGCCACTGGCAATTACAATCTGCTCGTCGAAGCGCTCCTTGTCGACGCAGCAGGCGGTCCGCCCGACTCTCTGGCGATCGTGAAGGGCGCCGTGTGCGACGCCGCCGCGACGGACGTGCTCGCGCTGCCGCTCGCCGCGGCGGACTGGCAGCAGCGCGCGGGGTGGTGGCTGCTGCACGCGGAGGCGCGCCTCGACGCGTTCCTCGAGAACGCGGACGCCGCCACCCTCGACGCGCTGCTCGCCGTGCTCCCCACCGCCTCGCCTCCGCCCACCAGCGGCAGCGGCGGGCGCAACGGCGGAGGCAGCACCAGCGGGGGCATCGCTGGGGGCGCGCGGAACGGGCAGAGCAGGAGGCGCATGGGGCGGGAGCTGCTGATGGGCGCATTCGGCCGCGCGGCCAGGCAGGGGGGACAGAAGCAGGGGGGACAGAAGCAGGGGGGTCAGCAGCAGGGGGGTCAGCAGCAGGGGGGGCAGCAGCAGCAGGGGGGAGCGCAGCAGGCGCCTGCAGTGAGTGGGTATGCTGTGCTGGCGGGCAGCAGCGCAGCAGGTGTGACGTGGGGCGGGCAGCTCATGGGCGCCAAGACGCTCGCCACTGCTGCTTGATGCTCCGCTGCCCTGCTGCTGCTGCTGCTGCCGTTGGTCCTGCTTGAACTCATCCTGATACAGGCTTCTATTGCTGCTGCTTGAGGGATCACTGCCTTGAGGATGGCTGTGGCATCGGCTTGGTACTTCCATGGCAAACAAGCACCTGCAGGGTGTGATGGGTTTCAGGGCTTTATCAGTGTGTGTGTGTGTGGACTGGATAGCTGTGCTTAGTCTCCCGAGAAGCAGCTAAAATAGGCCAAAGCATCAGGGGCAGGAATGTTGGCAAGGCATCAGGAGACATCAGCTGACTTGCCAGACTTCCTACCCCTGATTGTTCCTTATGAGGTTATTTGTTGTGATGTGATTGATGTAATTAGTGTGCTTGGGAAGCAGATTTATTCTACATAAAGGTAGGGTAACAAATTTCTCAAGCTGAGAACTGCACTCTGAATAATGAATAAATAAGAAGAAAAACACTAATGACTACTATATAGTGGGATGTGGCGCTGCTGTACCGCATTGGCCGCAGTGACGACGCTTTTAGGTCGCGTCGCGTTTCTAACCTGGAACTAACTTCGAAAAGCTCGGATTCTCTGACTTAGAATGCGCCGTTTTTCCGCACCCGAGCTTTCCGTTTTCGTCTCACTTGCCGTCAGCTGCAGGCCTCGTTCAGAAAGGCATGCAGCATTCTCGGGATAGAACCTAGTGCTCGTCACTAGCAATCCGATAGTAGGAGTAATTAGGTCTCGATTTCGCGATTCCAGCAATGGCGATTATACGTTTCTAGGTACCGCCAGTTTCGTGTGCCCCTAGGCCCCCATGACTTACTCATTTATTCAATCAGCGTATAGCGGGGAAATCGTCGTTAAAAAAGTGCTGCGGCTGATGGCGCCAGTGTGATTCAAGCGGGGAGCGCGAATGCCGCGGGTGGGGGGAGCGGAAATGAATGAGGAGGGGGAACGGTTATTGGCGGAGAGATGGCAGGCGGCGGAGGATTCCGCGCGAAAGACTGGCGGAGGAGTTGAAGGAGGCGACGTATGTAGCGGCGACGAAACAGTATCGCGGATGTACAACGATGACTCGACGGGCAGAGAGACGGATCCCCTTTTGGAGAAAGGAGCCTACAAAGGGACGGGCAATGACGAGTACGGGGGGCAGGACGTTGTAACGGGGGGGTTAAGCACTGTGCGGATAAGGGAGGGGATGCCGCCAGCTGCAGGCGCAGAGAAGGGCGTGCCACGTGGCGTGGTGATATTGGTCGTCGTGTTCCTGGACCTGTTTGCAGTGGGCATGGCCATGCCGCTCGTTACGCCGCTAATCAAGGAGCTAGGTAAGCTTATAATATTCAAGGGTTCCTCTGCTGATAAAATCTATCCATTGGCCTTTTTAATTTGCATTTGAAGATTTATCTATCCAACTTTTGCTCTTCTTTTGCATCTACTGCCTCTCCCGCCCCTCCCCCTGCCCCCTGCCCCCTGCCCCCTGCCCCCTGCCCCCTGCCCCCTACCCCCTCCCCCGCCCCGCCCCTCTCCCCTACTTCCTGCTCTTCCCCTACCTGGTATTCTGCCTCTGGACTCTCTGTCCGCGTTAGGAGCGTCCCCTTTACAGGTCGGCTTCCTCTCATCCACATACGGCGCTGTGCAACTCGTTACTGGCCCATTCTTTGTAAGCCAGCCTCGCTTCCCCTTTCTTGCTCTCTGCTCACGCACGCTGAACAGTGAACCCTTTTTTCATTACTCCACGTTGTGCTGGTGACTTTTGAGTCGACTCAAAAGTCACCTCGCTCTCTGGTTCACGCTGAATATCGAACCCTTTTTACATTACTCCGCGTTGTGCTGGTCTCGACATGAGCTGCTTGCTGTTGGTGGCTTGGCTTGAGGTCTGTGTGACCTCTTTCCCTCGACTCTAAACAAGTACCTAAAGCCCTCTTTCCCTCGCTGCCTCTCTCTTGACATTTCCGCGTGTCCCCGCAGGGTCTGCTGAGTGACAGCATGGGCAGGCCGGTTGTCATTCTGGTGTCGTATGCTGGCGCAGGGGCGAGCTATCTGCTGCTGGGGCAGAGCACTAGTGTCACGGTGAGAGACGGGAGGGGTCAGTTCTTCTGCAGCATGGGCTGGCGGGTTGTCATTCTGGTGTCGTATGCTGGCGCAGGGGCGAGCTACCTGCTTCTGGGGCAGAGCAGCAGTGTCACGGTGAGACACGGGGGGGGCACTGGGTCCGTTCAGGGTCTGCTGCTGAGTGACAGGTTGTGATTCTGGTGGCGTATGCTGGCGCAGGGGCCAGCTACCTGCTGCTAGGACAGAGCACTAGTGTCACGGTGAGGGAACGGGGGAGGGGGGTGGGGGTGGGGGTTGGGTGGGGGGGTGGCTGCTACCTGCTGCTGGGGCAGACGGGGAGGGAGGTGGGGGTGGGGATAAGGTGGGGGAGGGGGGGGGGTGCTACCTGCTGCTAGGGCAGAGCAGCAGTGTGACCGTGAGACAAAGGAGGATGGGGGTGGGGGAGTGGGGGAAAAAAAGGACGAGTTACCTGTTGCTAGGCAGAGCAGCAGATTTGACGGTTCTGATCTCCCGTGTGCTGCTGAGCATCACCAAGCAAGCACAGCATGAATGCAGTGAAGGCGTATGTGGCGGATCACACCACTTCTCGTCAACCCCCTTCCCTCCCCATCCCTTCCCCTCCTGTCCTCCTATCCCAACCCAACCCATTGAGACAGTGGTGATCTCTCATGTGCTACTAAAAATCGCCAAGCACAGCATGAACGCAGTCACGGCATATGTGGCCTCCCTGAAAATCCACCTTCTGTGAACATCCCTTCGAACCTTCCTTACAACCTCCGGGATTCCTCTTTATTCCAACCCCCCTCATCCATTCAGATGGTGGTGATTTCTCGGGTGCTACTGGGCATCACCAAGCACAGCATGAATGCAGTCAAGGTGTATGTGGCCTCCCTGCATCCCCCTTCCCTCCCCGTCCCTTCCCCTCCCTCCTTCCCCTCCATTCAGATGGTGGTGATCTCCCGAGTGCTACTGGGAATCACCAAGCACAGCATGAATGCAGTCAAGGCGTATGTGGCCGATCACACCACAGCCAGCAACAGAGCCGTGGAGCTGGGCAGGTGGGGCTTGGAGCTGGGAAGGTGGGGCGCTGTTTGGTTGGGTGATGGCAGGTGAGGCGCCTAGCACAGCATGAATTCAGTCAAGGCGTATGTGGCGGATCACACCACAGCCACCAACAGAGCCGTGGAGCTGGGCAGATGAGGCCATGCCATCCATTCCCTTCCCTTGAGAAGTCAGTCAAGCAGCACACATTGAGCACCAAGCACATTATGAATGCAGTGAAGGTGTATGTGGCCGATCACACCACCTCCAGTAACAGAGCCGTGGAGCTGGGCAGGTGAGGTGTGGAGCTGGGCAGGTGAGGTGTGGAGCTGGGCAGGTGAGCAGCCTGATTGCTTGGGTCATGCCATGCCATGCTATGGTATGCCATGCCACGCCACGCCACGCCATGCCATACCACGTCATGCCCCGCCATGCCTGCCCTGCCGTGCTGTGCCGTGCCATGCCGTGCCGTGCCGTGCCGTGCCGTGCCGTGCCGTGCCGTGCCGTGCCGTGCCATGCCGTTCCATGCCGTGCCGTTCCATGCCGTGCCGTTCCATACCACAGCCATCTCATAGGCAGGGGCACGGAAAGGCACTGCATCCGGCTGTTTCCCCCTTTTTGCTTATTCCTTGCTGCCTCGCCACCTCCCTTGCTGCCTCGCCACCTCCCTTGCTGCCTCGCCACCTCACTTGCTGCCTCGCCACCTCCCTTGCTGCCTCGCCACCTCCCTTGCTGCCTCGCCACCTCACTTGCTGCCTCGCCACCTCCCTTGCTGCCTCGCCACCTCCCTTGCTGCCTCGCCACCTCCCTTGCTGCCTCGTCACCTCCCTTGCTGCCTCGTCACCTCCCTTGCTGCCTCGCCACCTCCCTTGCTGCCTCGCTACCTCCCTTGCTGCCTCGCCACCTCCCTTGCTGCCTCGCCACCTCCCTTGCTGCCTTGCCACCTCCCTTGCTGCCTCGTCACCTCCCTTGCTGCCTCGTCACCTCCCTTGCTGCCTCGTCACCTCCCTTGCTGCCTCGTCACCTCCCTTGCTGCCTCGCCACCTCCCTTGCTGCCTCGTCACCTCCCTTGCTGCCTCGTCACCTCCCTTGCTGCCTCGTCACCTCCCTTGCTGCCTCGTCACCTCCCTTGCTGCCTCGTCACCTCCCTTGCTGCCTCGTCACCTCCCTTGCTGCCTCGTCACCTCCCTTGCTGCCTCGTCACCTCCCTTGCTGCCTCGTCACCTCCCTTGCTCCTTCGCCACCGTTCTCTCACTCCGCTCCACCTCAACAGGATGGCAACAGCATCAGCTTTGGGCATCATGGCCGGCACTGCTGTGCCTCCCCCTTCTCGTGCAAGTGCTCATGCCTGCATGCCTCCCCACATTCCAAATCGGTCCCACAGGATGGCAACAGCATCGGCTCTGGGCATCATGGTCGGCCCTGCAGTGGGTGGCATGCTATTTAAAGTAGGTCTTGCTAAAATTAGCCGTTGCTCAATGTTCATGACAACCCCTTCCTGTGCTTTTCGAGTTGACTCAACCTTCACCTTCCACAATGGGGTGGGCTTTCAGAGAGATCATAACTCGGGGGGCAAGTAATAGCATGGGCTGCTCCCTCGAGTTTTGAGACGTCTCAAAAACCTAGAGGGAGCATGGCTTGCCTGCTGCCCCTCTGTATCACTTCTCTCTGTCTGCTTTTGCAATTCCTATGCATCCTCTTCAATTTCCTCAACTCTTTTCCGAAGGACACCAGCGAGTAACTTGAGAGGGAATGAACGAACCATAAGGCCTCTTCTCTCTTTCTGCTTCTTTTTTTTCCTGTTTCTCCCCCATCCCTTTCCCCCCTTTCCTTCTCCCTCCCGCCTTCGCCTTTCTCCCACCCTCAACCCTCCCTTTCCTCGCATCTTCTTGCTCCTCCCGCCCAGGCAGGTAGTTATCCCCTCCCAACAGCAGCCCTTCTTTACGCTATAAACTCATTCATTATAGTTACGCGGCTACATCCATCACCATTCTCCATTCCCCCACCCCCTTCCCTCTATTCTACCCCCTTTTCCCACACAGGCAGGCAGTTATCCCCTCCCAACAGCAGCAGCAGCGCTTCTCTACGCTATGAACTCCTTCATTACTGTCACGCAGCTGGAATCACAGCATAAACCCTCTGCCGAATCTACATCACATGGCCATAAGAGAACACGGGTTCTCTCACTGCAAGGTCTCCTTCCCAATGTAAGACACTCTTTCTGAGTCGACTCAATAATGGACTTCCTTTCCACGCGAGATCCAGACATAGCTCAGTGAGCTGCGTGCATGCAGAAGGCTTGAAGCAATGGACTTCCTTTCCCCCCACATTTGTTTCCTCCGCTTGTTTCTCTCCCCCCGTTCCTCTTCTCCCATTTCTTACCTCCTGTTTCTCTCCTACCCTTCCTCTCCTCCACTATTCTCCTCTCACTTATCTCCTCTCTTCACTATCCTTCTCCTCGCATTGCTCTCCTCCCTTCACTATCCCGCCAGTGCTGGGACTGGCGGTGCATCTGTTCAAATGTGCTGACACCCATCATTCTTCCCCTTGTCCCTCCCTCTTCCTCCCTTCCTCCCTTACTCCCTCCCATCCACCCTCCCTCTCCCTCCCACAGGTGGCCATATTGACTCGCCCCCGAGTGGCAGCACTGATGGCATTGCGGGCAGTGCTGGGACTGGCGGTGCATCATTTCAAATGATCTGGCACACTTCGTCCCCCCCATCCCATCCATCCTTCCTTCGTCCTTTCCTCACAGGTGGCCATACTGACTCGCCCCAGAGTGGCAGCACTGATGGCGGTACGGGCAGTGCTGGGGCTGGCGGTGCATCTGTTCCGCCAGGGCTTCTCGCTGCTCCTCATCTACCATCTCAACCTCCCCGTGCACACCAACGGGCTGCTGCTCTCATTGCAGGTGAGCGGTGGTGAGTGGTGGTGAGTGGTGGTGAGTGATGAAATGGGGGTGTGAGAGGCTAATGGTTAGTATGTTGTGCCCACCTCTCTTCCTCTATTCACATGTTCTTCTCCCAGGGTCTCACATTGCTAGTACAGGGCCTCGCCATCTGTCCCTTGCTGTACCGCTTCCAGTGTGCCTTCAACAAGGCTATTTCATCCACCTCTTCTTCTCTTCACCATCCCCACCTCTCAGGGCCTCCTCACATCACTTGTACAGGGCCTCGCCATCCATCCCTTGCTGCACCGCTTCCTGTGTGCCTTCATCCACCCAATTTTATCCTCTTCTCTTCACCATCCCCACCTCTCACCCTATCCCCCCCCTCAGGGCCTCCTCACATCGCTGGTACAGGGCCTCGCCATCCGCCGCTTAATCTCGTCGCCATCCTCCCCACCTCCATGCTTATATCCCCACCCCTCAGGGTCTCCTCACATCGCTCGTTCAGGGCCTCGCCATCCGTCCCTTGCTGCACCACTTCCCGCACCATATTTCAGCCTGTCAGACCTTATTCGGTGTCCCTCTCTTCCAATCCCCACCTCCTAGGGTCTCCTCACATCACTAGTACAGGGCCTGGCCATCCGCCCCTTGCTGCGCCGTTTCCCAGAAGAGCCTCTCATCTTCCGCGGCCTCCTGCTGCTCTCACTCACGCTCGCCCTGCTCGCTGTGACGCTCATTAGGCACCTGATTCCCCACTATACACATATCAATGCAGGGCCTCCTCACATCGCTGGTACAGGGCCTTGCTATCCGTCCCCTGCTGCGCCACTTTCCGGAAACACCTCTCATTTTCCGCGGCCTGCTGCTGCTCTCCCTCACTCTCGCCCTGCTCGCTGCTGCTCCCAGCCTTGTAAGCATCTGCGCCCCAGCCTTGTAAATCTATATTACCCTCCCCCTCTCCCTGCCTGCTATTGCTCTCACTCACCCTCACCCCGCTTGCTGCTGCTCCCAGCCTTGTAAGCACTTGTTGTCCCAGCCTCATAGCGTTCCTCCTTGTAGCATGCTCTCTGCATCTGCCTCTCCCTTTGCTTCTTCTTCTCGCTCTCCTTCACCCATTGCTGTGTCTCTCAGCCTCATAAATCGTTCCTCCTTGTAGCATGCTCTCTCCATCTGCCTCTTCTGCTTTTTTCTCTGCCTCTTCTTCTGTTTCTCCATCTGCCTCTTCCTCTGCCTCTCACTTCGTGCTTTGCAAAAGCCCTCTCGCTTCTGTTATTCTGCCATTTTTGCGTGTTTTCCGCCCTTTTTTATGCTGGAGTTGCTTTTGAGAACTCTCAAATACCCTCCCGATCCCAACTCCCCTGCCTTCAGCTTTTCCTGATCCTACTACTACCTCCGCTCGCCCTCTCAACCGGTGTTCTCCGCACCACATACACTGCCCTTCTCACAACATCTGTCGCTCAGAGTGAGGTAAGCCTCTTGCCCTCTTCCCCTCTTGCACACGTTGTGTGAGGAAACTATGCCTGTTAAACTGTCCAGTGCTCGTGAACTGAGACGATTATTTAGGCGCCTAAAAAATTCCCCTCTTGCTCACGCTGTGTGAAGAAAGGAAACTACGTCTGTTCAACTGTCGAGTGCTCGCCATTCGAGATGGCAGGCACCGTACGCTCTCTTCTCCCATCTCCCTTCTCCACTTCTCTTCAACCATCACTTGCTGGGAAGCCAAGCAATGTAACGTCTCGAGTGCTCCGCCCCACATCGTGTCGGCCTGTCAAAAGCACTGTCCCTCTTTACACGACACCGCATGCTCTCTTCCTCCCTCTCCCTCTTCCCGTCCAGGTGACTTTTGAGTCGACTCAAAAGTCACCTCGACTCAAAAGTCACCTCAAAAGCACTGTCCCTCTTTGACACGACACCACATGATCTCTTCCCCCCTCTCCCTCTTCCCTGCCTCTCTTCCAGGTGGGTCAGCTGCTGGGTCTATCAGATGCCATCATGTCGGCCTGTCGAGTGCTCGGTCCCTCTGCTGCTGGCCTCCTCTCATCTCAATTCGGCTATCACGCCCCTGTCGCTGTCAGGTAGGCGCGCTGACGTGCTTCTTCAGGTGATTGTAACGAGGTGACTTTTGAGTCGACTTAATAGGCCCGCTGACGTGCTTCTTCAGGTGATTTTTTAGTCGACTCAAAAGTCGGCCTCCTCTCCTCCCAATACGGCTACCACGCCCCGGTTGCTGTCAGGTAAGCCCGATGGCATGCTTGTTCACGTTGACCTATTACACCCCTCTCGTTGCCCCCAAACCCGGTGGTGTGCCATTCTGCTTCTAAACCAGTGGATTACTTGTGCCCTCAGAAAACATGGTGTGTTACTTACGCATGACACCAGTGCTTCACATGCTTGTGACTGTCGACACGGTTGTTCGAGTCCTGTGCGCCTTGCATCTGAGGCGACCCAGAAGTCACCTTAAGCATCATGCCAGTGTCTGAAGTGAATGTGGCATTGGTGCCATGTGCTACATGAATGTGGCATTGGTGCCATGTGCTACATGAATGTGGCATTGGTGCCATGTGCTACATGAATGTGGCATTGGTGCCATGTGCTACGTGAATGTGGCATTGGTGCCATGTGCTACATGAATGTGGCATTGGTGCCATGTGCTACATGAATGTGGTGCACTCTGTGTGCACTTCACTTCAAATCCTTTGTCCCCTGCCCTCCTTTGTCCTCTGCCCTCCTTTGTCCCCTGCCCTCCTTTGTCCCCTGCCCTCCTTTGTCCCCTGCCCTCCTTTGTCCCCTACCCTCCTTTGTCCCCTGCCCTCCTTTGTATTCCTGTCCTGTGCGTACCTCACACTTTACTCTTTGCTTCCCTTCCCTCCATCTCCTCCCTGGCAGTGCTGTCATTGCTGCCACTGCAGCTCTCCACTTCCACATGCGAGTGCTGCACCACCACCAGCCTGCCTCTGCTGGCTATCCTTTGCACCTTCCCCACCTCTGTTCCACCTCCCTTTCCCTTCCTTCCCTCCATCTGCTCCCTGGCAGTGCTTTCATTGCTGCCACTGCAGCTCTCCTCTTCCACCTGCTAGTGCTGCGCCGCCACCAACCTGGCTCTGCTGCTGGCATGGGAATCTTGTCAAAGGGTCATTTGGCTTGACTGCCTCAGCCATTCCTTGGCAGCGTTATCGTTGCTGCCAGTACAGCTCCCCGCTTCTGCATGCAACCTTCCTCTGCTGCCACTAGAATCTTGTCTGAAGGACATTTGGCTTGATTGTCGGAGGTGTTTCTTTTTCTTCGTCAAATTCGTTGCTTGGCAAATATATTTATCTCAAGACTTGCATTGCAATCTCAAAACATGTCTGACACCAAGGGAAACAGAGAATGGAATAATTTTATAAATACTACTAGCACACAGACAAACACAAATGACACTGATCACCATTCCTTCGAATTTCAACAGATCAATCAGGGGTAGGAAGACTGGCAAGTCAACTGGTGTTCTTTAATTCCTTGCCAGCATTCCTGCCCCTGATGCGTTGACCTAATTTAGCTACTCCAGCTGCCCATGATCCAGAGCAGCTGCAACATGCTGGGTTCCAACGCCCAAACCAGCAGCAGCAGCGGCGGCAATGACTGTCAACCATCGCCACGTCAAGCAGCAGCGGCAGTGATGAGAGACACAGGCTTTAAACAGCAGCGGCGGGCATCTTGGCGCCCATGAGCTGCCCGCCCCACGTCACACCTGCTGCGCTGCTGCCCGCCAGCACAGCATACCCGCTCACTGCAGGCGCCTGCTGCGCTCCCCCCTGTTGCTTCTGTCCCCCCTGCTTCTGTCCCCCCTGCCTGGCCGCGCGGCCGAATGATCCCATCAGCAGCTCCCGCCCCATGCGCCTCCCGCCCTGCCCGTTCCGCGCGCCCCCCGCGCTGCCCCCGCTGGCGCCGCCTCCGCCGGCGCTGCTGCCTCCGCCGTTGCGCGCGCCGCCGCTGCTGGTGGGCGGAGGCGAGGCGGTGGGGAGCACGGCGAGCAGCGCGTCGAGGGTGGCGGCGTCCGCGTTCTCGAGGAACGCGTCGAGGCGCGCCTCCGCGTGCAGCAGCCACCACCCCGCGCGCTGCTGCCAGTCCGCCGCGGCGAGCGGCAGCGCGAGCACGTCCGTCGCGGTGGCGTCGCACACGGCGCCCTTCACGATCGCCAGCGAGTCGGGCGGACCGCCCGCCGCATCGACAAGGAGAGCTTCGACGAGAAGGTTGTAATTTCCGGTAGAATTCTTGAAGACGGCGAGGTGGAAGCTGCCGTTGAGGGTTTTCTGATCCACGGTGCAGTTGGCGAGCTGCGCGCCGATATCGGCCGTCAGATTCCCGACGGCGGTGAGGTTCAGCGGAGGACCGCGCGGTCCGCCAGGCCCGCCGGGACCGTCGCGACCGCCGGGACCACCGGGACCGTCGGGACCGCCGGGTCCGCCGGGTCCGCCGGAACCGGCGCCAGGGCCTCCGCGCTGACCGCCGGGAGGACCTCCGCCAGGCGGACCACGCTGCGCCAAGGCGGACGTCGACACGAGGAGGAGCACGCACGCGAGGACGAGCGCTCTGACTGCGGCCATGGCTGGATCTGTATCGAACTGCGATCTTCTAAGTGGCGAAAGTGGAAGCGTGAGTGACTAGGAAGCCTTGGGTGAAGAAAGTGGAATGGAAGCTGTTGGTGAGTGAAATGGTAGGAGAGTCAATGGCTACTTATAGGATAGTCAAAACCAAGAATAGACGCGAGTCAAAGCCGCTGAGGTCTGAGGCTGAGGCTTGTGTGTGAAAGTCGTCAAGCGATGTGTGAGGTTCGGAAAAAATCCAGACCAACTGTAGAGGTTCGAGGTGAGAAAATCACCAAACGAGAGTTGAATATGTGCGACGGGATTCAAACGTGTGAGTCAGCGCGAAATGGAAGGCAAATCGCACGGATGGAATAACACATCAAGTCAGCGCGGAAGGGCAGCTGCAACATCCTTCCTGCACATTGGCAAGTACAGTATAAGATACAACGCTTATAGCAACTGCAACATTAGTTATGTTAATCATTGACTGTTTCCTTCTTAAAATAGTTGGGTGTGAGAATGTCCCTTGAGCAGTTGAATCTACATCTAGAGGATTTTTTGAACACATTCGATTATTCAAAAGGCAGCTTGTAGAAAGGAATGACCTTTCGTCGACTCCGTTCTGTACTTACTTGCATGCCAAGTGGCTTATGTCTAAATCACACATTACCACATGTTTTTGTTGACTGACCGCTCGTAACCTACATATTGTTGGAATAACCTAAAGGTTACAATAACATTCTCGAAGGCTCTCCACTTGCGCGTCACTCCATAACGAAGCTACGCGCCAGTATCATTATCGCAATAGCTCATATAGAGCATGCGGAAGGTCGAAGGGTCACCCGAAGGTCAACAGTTGAAGACAGTCAACGATCGTGACCCTTGACTGCCCTGTAACCGCACTTGGAAGTTACGCGATGCAGCACAGTAACTGTCAAGAATAGCAATAGTCGTGGTTACTGTAGCAATACAATTCAATTTAGAAAGCTTGCTTTCTTTCATGTAGCAATGGCATCGTCTCATTTCAAATGGGTTTAGTACAATTTGAAATCCAAGCAGCCTATCAGACTAATGTGCTAACACATTTCAAGGGGTGGGTGGGCGGGAAAAATCGGCTAAACCGTTTGAAAATGAGAGACGTGGGTGGAGGGAAATGACCTCCAGCCCACGTTTTGTACTCCAAAACGGGCGTATAGCGCGGTTCGTCGCTGCCCATTCCTACATTACAGACTGCTTCGCTTTCAAAATACGAAATTTTGAAAAGCGTTACACTTTTTAAAAACATTCATATTTAGAAAGCTTGCTTTCTTTCATGTAGCAATGGCATCGTCTCATTTCAAATGGGTCTTCTGAGACATGTGCAGTGGAGGTTGTCGTCGTCGCATCAGGGCCGCTGAGTGTTGCACTGGTGACGAGGCTCGTGCCGGGTCTTGAACGTGTCGAGACGCTTCGACCAGCTGATCGACCGCCGGGGTGATGTACATCTCCTTGGCAGTATCGCTGCGCCACCGTCCCAACTGTTTCAAAAAGCGATCTGGTACTCCTGAGTTGGCGGCGGCAGTGGCTGCGCCTTTGCGAAAGGAGTGGGTGCCGAGATGCTCGAGACCTAAGCCGATCTTTTGGAATGCCTCCTTGCACCAGTTGCGGATTGTTGTGTAGGATGGTGAAGTGGCGGCAGTGCCGAAACTCGTGGTGTCTTGACCGAAAACTCGGGCCTCTTTGTGCATGGTTGTATCTCGCCAATTGGATGAAGCGCTTGGTGCACCGTACGGGGCAGAAGGGACCTGAGCTTGCTGCTACTGGAACCCATGCACCTTCTCCTGCCTGGTCAGTCTTTGAGCGGGGAATAAAGAGCCACATGGCGTCTTCCTCGAACTGGATGTCGTGCCACTTAATTTCGACGAGGTCCGAGTAGCGTAGAAGGCCGGCGTACATTAGGATTGGGATGAGTCCCTTCTGGAACTCGCCGGGGTTGTTTGACTCCAGGTATTCCGACGCCATTTCGTGGACTTGGTGCAAAGAGATAGGCTCTTTGAGTCGTCGGGGGCGCGGGCAATGTCGCTTGGCGAATTCCCGCACTTGGGATGTGAACGGCCCAGTTGATGGGCATGGGGCCCCGATCATCCGATGTGCGAAGCGGGCTGTCGAGCATGTCAGTTGTATCACTGATACTGTGGCTTTTTGTTGAATCGCATGGACCAGGTATAATGCGAGCGTCATGTTTGTGCATGGCAGAAACTGTAGCTTGACTCGTTTGCAGAACGCGCGGAACTTGGCCCAGTACGGCTCGTAGGTGCGAATCGTAGAGTCGGCCCGTGTTTGCGCAGTTATACGGAGCAATTCTTGCTTGAGCCTCTCAAGTAACCCTGCACCAGGTTCGTGAGAGGTCAGGTAGCGAACGACACTCGTAAAGCGAGAATAGGGCTACGAGGCATTCCTTCGCCAGAGAAGGCACAAGTGTGGGTGCCCGCGGTGAGGCACTGACTCCCATGGGTGAGGTGGATGTGAGCGCGAATGCAAGGGGCCCACTTCGGTGGGGTGGTTTGTAGCAACGGCCACCAGCTTGCCCCTGGCCAATGGGGCACTACGAGCGTGAGCGATGCTCGCGTCCGTTGGGCGTGGTGAAGCACTGCTGGGATGAGGTGTGGTGGTGGGAAAGCATAACCGTGCTCAGCGTTCCATGATATTGAGAAGGCGTCGGTAGCCTCTGCGTCCGGGTGAGGTGTTTTGGAACAGAAGCGGGCTAACTGTGTGTTGCTTGCATTGGCGAATAGATCGATGGAGTGCGGTCCCAAACGCCGCTCAATGAGGCGGAACCACGGTGCTTTAATTGAGTAGTCGTCTCGATCGATCATCTTGGAGAGTTCGTCCGCTCGTGTGTTGAGCTCGCGTGGGATCCATTCGACCGTCAGGCGAATCCTCGAGGCCATGCACGTTTGAATAATGGCTCTGCATGTTGTGGTGAGACTAGGGCTTCGAGAGCCGCCTTTGCGAAGAATGAAGAATACGCCTTGGTTGTCAGTTCTGGCTAGGACGTGTCGGTTGTGGATCCCTCCCGCGAACGTTTGGAGAGCCCATAGAACTCCTTCCATTTCTCGTTGCGTGCTCGAGGTCCTTGTGAGATGCTCGGGCATTGCTGCATTCGCCTCGGTTTGCCCTCCCGGGAACGTGTCGAGTGTGGCTCCCCAACTGTGTGCGCTGGCGTCCACATGAATCACTGCGTCATAGCTGCTCGGGACGTGGAAGGAGGCGCCATTGAAGTTGTCGAATTCTTGCAGCCAAAACTCGAGTTCCTCGATTACGGCGGGGACTAATGGCACCTTGCTGTTCCATGAAGCGGCCTCCTGAATGGTCTGCAGCAGGTTCTGGCTAAATGCCTGCGCAGTTGCGCCGATGGCAAGTGACATCGAAGCGAGCATGCCAGTGACCCTCGCTACATGGCGGATCGGGACCTTGCGCTTGGCTCTGCCTGCCATGCAAAGTTCTTGAATGGTCGAGCGTAACGATGTACGCCGCTCGGGACCAATGGAGAACTGGCCGTGCTTAGTATCCAGTTCGACACCCAGAAAGCGCAGCTGCTGGGTGGGTTGCAGATGCGACTTCTTAGAATTAATGACTAGCCCCGCCTTGTTGAGGTCCTCCACCACCATCTGACACGTAGTTCGAGCCTTTGCTTCCGTGTGACACAAAAATATGATGTCGTCAACGTACGGGATGACTCGTCCCCCGAGGGCCCGCCAGCGGCGGGCGAGCTGCTTGATAAGTTGCGTGAATACAAATGGGGCCGTCGCGAGGCCGAAAGGGAGGGAACGAAAGACGTATGAGCGCCCGTCGAATTGGAATCCCAGGTACTTCCAGCATGACGGATGGATGTCGACGTGGTGGTATCCTGATTTGAGGTCGACAGCGAACATCCAATCGCCTATGCTGACGAGCTCCGCCACCCGCTTCAATCCCTCGTACTTGAATTTGGGGATGCTCAGATTTTGGTTTACTCTTCTGAGGTCAAGAATCAGTCGGCACTTGTCTCTTTGAACCACCACATTTAGTGGACTGATGCAGAGCTGTTGGGATCCGGGGGCGATAATCGCCGCACCACTATCAAGGAGCTCGATTATGGCCTGCTTGGTGAGCTTTGAGTGGATTAGTGCTCCCGCGTGGTTGTCTTTCTGAAACGGCGTGGGGGGCCCATGCTTCCATGGCATCCAATAGCCATTTAAAACCACCGAGAGTATGAAGCTACTCTCGCACCATGAGCTCCACCAAGGAAATGCTGCGCGCAGGCGTCCGCGCATGGTCGTGACGAGCTTGTCGGTGATCGCGATCTCGTACGGGTCATACTCAACCATCGAGCCGATACCCGGTGTATCTTGTCAGAATCCCAACCACTAGACCATTGGGATAGAAGGGCTTGTTAAGTAGCGGGTCAGTGCGCCCATAACCCCCCAGGGCAACGAGCCTGTAACCCTTCCCTAGGATCAATCGGGGATCACCAGTGGACCTCTGACACCTCCCCGCACTGGGATGCCCGAAGTGCACACACTGGGATTCGAACCCGAGACCTTCGCTCTGATAACATGTCAGAATCCCAACCACTAGACCATTGGGATAGAAGGGCTTGTTAAGTAGCGGGTCAGTGCGCCCATAACCCCCCAGGACAACGAGCCTGTAACCCTTCCCTAGGATCAATCGGGGATCACCAGTGGACCTCTGACATATCTGTGGACCATGGGGTTCGGGGCAGCATGGGACATGCTTCGTTAAGCAAGGTATGCGGCAATGTAGGTCCCCCGTGAGGTTCTCACTCTCGCTCTCTCTTTTTCTCTCTCTTCCTTTCTCTCTCGTTGTTGTTGTTGATGTTTTTTTTTTTTTTTTTTTTTTTCATGAGTCCTTTTGCCTGATTGCATGCACTTGGGTGTTCCGCCCTGTGCCTAACATGTGGTGCTCGTAGGGCAGCTCCTTCTTTTGCTCGGTGAGCTCATCACGGTGAACATCTCACTCGCGCTCTTCCTTCCTTC